TCCTATGTTTAGTTTTTTGAGCACAGTAGGTACCTCTTGATCAGTTCCTGGAGTTTGTGTTTTCCAGATCCTTGTAAGGGAAACTGGCTAAAGCAGGCAGATGACTCCGTCTGAGGTCCCAGGTGGGTGTGGGAGCAAGAGCTGTGTTTAGGCCTTTGTTTTCCAGCCTTAAAGTCTGAACTGTGTTCATCAACTCACCTCAAAAAGAGTTTGCCACAAGCCTGTTCATGCCCCCGTGACTTGGCCGAGATGTGTGGTCTGGGGGAAAACAGGCTCCAGTCGGAACAGGGGCCCACTCACTTCATGCTCAGGGCAGCTCGAAGGTGAGGCAGGATGAGAATGACTGATGATGCTGGTTTTGAAACAGTGACGTAAGTGAAGCCAGCCATGCCAGGAAGTGTCCAGGAGGAAGCTGTAACCATTTGCCCCAGGGCTTCACCACCAAGTAGCTGGGTGGTGACTCACAGTTGGCAGAAAGGATTACTCATGGTCCTCCAAGTGCCCAGGCATGTTTCCCTAGCAAGGATAGAGTCCCCCAACACCCCCCCCTCCCAAACACCTGCACACCACTGAACCCTCCTACCAAACTGCCCTCTCCAGATGCGGCCTAAGCTAAACCAGCTCCAACCTATGGTCTCTGATCCTGTGCCTTTCCCTTCCTGGCTTCATCCACCAAGACAAAGCACAGCTGTGGCTAACTCCCTCCCGAGTTGGGAGGGAGTTATGATTTATGTCTGGTAGAGAGATAGCAAGACTTAGAGACAGAAACATGTTAAATGTGTGCACTGGCTAATAGTACTTTCGTTGGCGGCTTACTGTGAGCCAGGCCCCAGGCCTGTGTTAAACACTAATTGAACTTCTTCCCAATAATTTTATAAAGTGGATCTTATTCTTTCCATTTTCCAGCTGGGGAAACTGAACGTACACAAGCTCTCACGATTTGCCCACACAATCTGCGTCTGTATGTAAGGAGCACTGTATGGATTTGAACACAAATCTTCTGGATTCCATACCCCACATCCTGCAATACTTTAATTGCCCTCAGGCCGCCCTCCTAGTTTTGGGGGGCCTCCTGTGCATTTTCTATAATTGCTTCCCGAGGCAGTTCGGCCCTAGGGGTAGCCTCTTGTTTCCTGAGTTGTCAGGCTGAGAGCAGAAAGATGCACACTGCGGATTGTTTTTGAGGATTTGGGCAGGGTAACAGCTAGCTGCGTGTTTGGGTTAGCTGGGTATGTCTGGGTGTCTCGTGTCATGCACGTTGGGTTTTGAAGCTTGCTCCTGCCTGCCTGAATTCTGGCCTTGCCAAATGTGGGATGGAGCTGATGGGGCCAGGCGCCCTGGGGTACCTGGAATGTGCAGCCCGCACAGCCCAGGACTGCTGGCTCCTTGATTGTTGGCACTGTCCCCTCTAAGAATAGATGCCCAGCCTAGATACTGTGCTACTAATGTTTGAAGCCCCAGTAGTGGAAATAAGCCAGCAGCTAGGGTAGTGGGGTACACTGTTGTACACGCCTAAGGGTCAGATTTCATAGATAACAGGAAGAGGATTTCTGGGATACTGGTACCCTGGGGAGCAGCAGCTCTTCCAGTTTGGGCCCTAAGCTTCCTAGTAATGAGGAGTCCTTAGCCCTCTACTGGGTAGCCTGGTAGGAGAGGATTGGGGAGCTCTCAGAGAGCATTGAAGGACATCACTGTCTGGCCCCCCCCCCCCCCCCCCAGTGCTGGCCACAGCACCTCCCCTAGGAAGAGGCTTAAGAAGGGAAAGAAGCTTTCAATTCTCCCCCCCCCCCCCCCAATCACTTGTAGGGGGCTGAACTCTGGGCCTGGGCTCTGTCCCTCAGCTCTTCAGCTCAAGGCTAGCACTCTCCCACTTGAGCCACCGGGCCACTTCGGGCTTTTTCTGTTTATGTGGTGCTGAGGAATGGAACCCAGGGCCTCATGCATGCGAGGCAAGCACTCTACCACTGAGCTACCTTCGCAGCCCTCGATTTTTTAATATCTGTTTGAATAACTACTATAGTTTTTTTTTAAAATCAGTGTTTGAATAACTATTATAGTCACAAGGGTCAGAATCCATATCGGTCAGGCTGATGGTAAAAATGTCACTCCTGGCTGGGCAGCAGTTTGTTCATACCTGTAATCCCAGCTACTCAGGAAGCTGAGATCTGAAGATCTTATCTTTTAGCCAGAAGTGGAGCTGTGGCTCAAGTGGTAGAGGCCTTGAGCAAAAAAGCTCAGGAATAGCAGGTATACCCTGAGTTCAAATCCCAGAACCCACCACCACCCCACGCAAACAGAAATTAGCCATGTATGTGGTTAGCAAGATAGTCGTGGCCAAGTGCTTAAGGCAATGGACCTGCAAACAAGTTGCAATTATTGGGAGGGATTGTTTTCTTCCAGTCTTTTCTGCGCATAGTTATGTACAATATATGAAGTTCTGCACTCTGCTTACTTTGTTTTACTTCATAGCATGAGATCTTCCCCGTGTAATTTAAAACCTCTGTGGTAAATATCATTTCTGGCATGAGAAATAACCTGTGGAGTGTGTGGTCCATAGATGCTTAACCTTTGTCCTGTATTTAAGATCATTTAACCTTAGCTACACATCAAGCCTGGTACCTCCAGGCGTGTGTGTGTGTGTGTGTGTGTGTGTGTGTGTGTGTGTGTGTGTGTGTGTATGTGTGTGTGTGAGTGTGTGTGTGTGAGTTTAGAATAAGGGCATGGCCACCCTCAGGCCCCTCTGGAGCTGAATCTGGCCCAAGCCTCTTCCCCTGAGGCTGGCCAGCTGTGTCCCAGCTCCAGACCTGTGATGCAGACGTGGGCAAGGAAGCAGCCATGCTCACTAAGCAGGCTGGTGCTTCTCACATAGCCTTCTAGGCAAGCGTCCTGTCTGCAAGTGTGAGCCATCACACAGAGTATGCTGCCTTGTTTCTCAATGCATACATGCATTCTATCTTGGGTCTGGTGTGTAGGGCTCATGTTTGTGCCTATACTGAGACTTGAATTTGGGACTTAGGCCCTGTCCCTGAGCTCTGTGGCTCGAGGCTAGCACTCTACCACTTAAGGCACAGCTCCACTTCTGGAATTTTTAGGGTATTTGAAGAAAAGAGTCTCATAGACTTCTCCTGCTTGTGCTGGTTATGAACCACAATCCTCAGATCTCGGTTTCCTGAGTAGCTAGGATTACAGACATGAGCCACCAGCACCCATTCTGGATGGGCATTGGCCTTTTTTCTTTCTGGTCTGTCGTGGGGCTTGAACTCAACCTAGGCACTGTCCCTGAGCTCTTCAGCTCAAGGTGAGCACTCTACCACTTGAGCCACAGCACCACTTCCAGTTTTCTGATGGTTAATTGGAGATAAGATGTCTCTGCCCAGTCTGGCTTTGAACCGTGATCCTCAGAGCTCAGCCTCCTGAGTAGCTAGGATTACAGGCATGAGCCACCGGCCTTCGTCTCTTGTCTGTTTCTGATTGCAGCTAGTACAAGTTATGCTGTGACAAACATTATGATACATGTTTTGGTAAATGTATTTTTATAGGGTCTGTACATCAGAGTGTAATTGCTGGGTTTGTTGGGAAAAAATATAGCAAAATATTTTGTGTACTCATGAAATATTTTCCCTTTCTCTCTCTAGCCTTTTGTAACCTTTATTCTTGTCTATGAATTTGAATATCTAAAGTTCCCCTTACAAGTGGAATTAGAGGCTGGGAATGTGGCTTAGTGGTAGAGTACTTACCTAGCATGTATGAGGCCCTGGGTTTGATTCCTCAGTACCACAAAAACAGAAAAGGCTAGAAGTGGCACTGTGGCTCAAGTGGTAGAGTTAGCCTTGAGCAGAAGATGCTCAGCAACAGTGCCCAGGCCTGAGTTCAAGCACCAGGACTGCCAAAAACAAAATAAGTGGCATTAGATAGTATTTGTTCTTTTCTGACTTATTTCACATAGCATCATTTTTTATTTGGAAGTGTTTTTCTGGTGTGAGGATTGAACCATGACCTCAAAAGTCTGCTGATCTACACCCAGCTTAGCATTTCTCAACATCCATTGCTCATTCTTGTTGTATAGTAGGTGTCAGAATTTTGTTCCTTTTTTTTTTTTAAAAGAACATTCCTTATAAAGGCTTAGTCCCTTTTAAAGGCTTTATTCCTTTTTTTAAAGGAATAGTATTCTGTCAAGTATGCACCATTTCCCCCAGCGATGCAGGGGAATTCTGACTTTCCTATATTCTTGGACTAGGGTGTAACTCCATGGTAGAATGCTTGTTTAAACTGGGTGTAGTGATGTACACCTGCAAATTTGACATTCAGAAGGCTGAGGCAAGAGGATCAAAATTCTTGTTGGAAGGCTAGCCTAATAGGGATTTTCAGAAGGAACGTACAGCAAGCTAAAATAAGTGGTAGTTGCTCAAGGGGGCATGTGAGCAACTGCCATCCCACGTGACAGGAGTTGGGTTATGTGTAGTCTTATGACCATTAGACCACCATCTTCCTCTAGCTATGGCCTTATCAACCCTGTGTCTCACAAGGCTACCCACTGAATGTCTGATCTTGGTCCTCCGGCCACATGAACAAAAAAGGTATTGCAGGTTGGGTGCCAGTGGCTCACGTCTATAATCTTAGCTACTCTGGAGGCTGAGATCTGAAGGTTCACAGTTCAAAGCCAGCCTGGGCAGGAACATCCATGAGACTCTTATCTCCAATTAACCACCAGAAAAAAACAGAAGTGGTGCTGTAGCATAAGTGTTAGAGAGCTCACCTTGAGCTGAAGAGCTGAAAGACAGTGAGTTTAAGACTGACGACCAACCAAAAAGGGGGGGGAGGGGGCGAATTGCACCTACAAACTGCCCATGGTCAGTGGATGGCCTCTGAATGTAGACTTCTCTTGTGCTCACTTTGTACCAGCCGTTGATCCATTCAGGAGCCTTTTGTCAGCTTGTTTCCCCTGTGGTAGCTTGCAGATGTCACCTTCTCTCTCATACCTCTTCTTTCCTTTCCCACAGCAGCGTTCACTGGCTCTCCTGGGCAACAGGTGCCTCTGCTCAGCATTGACAATGGCGACTTCAGTGTGCTGGCCAGAGGAACTGTCCAGGTAACACAACACATCCACTCTCAGGACAAAAGGAAGATGCAGGCTGGGAATGTGGCTTATAGTGGTAGAGTGCTTGCCTAGCATGCATGAAGCCCTGGGTTCAATTCCTTAGTACCACATAAATAGAAAAGTGCCACATAATAGAAGTGGCATGGGCTGGGAAGGTGGCTCAGTGGTAGAGCACTTGCCTTGCATGCCTGAGGCCCTGGGTTCGATTCCTCAGCACCACATAAAAAAAAAAAAAGCCAGAAGTGGCGCTGTGGCTCAAGGGGTAGAGCGCTAGCCTTGAGCTGAAGAGCTGAGGGACAGCGCCCAGGCTCAGAGTTCAGGCCCCACGACCAGACCCCCCCCCCAAAAAAAAATAATAATAGAAGTGGCATGGTGGCTCAAGTGGTAGAGTGCCCACCTTGAGCAAAAGAAACTCAAGGACAGTGCCCAGATCCCGAGTTCAAGCCCCAGGACTGGGGGAAAAAAATAAAAAAGGAAGATACTCTGGCCGCAGCAGGACTGGAGGCCTTTGGCTATAGCAGCTATCAGCCTAGTTAACCCTTCCTAAGAGAGTCCTTAGCCACCCAATGTGAGCAGGAGGGGCTACTGAGCAGGGAAGTAGCCGTGGCTGCCCAATAGGGGGCACCAGAGTGTCAGGTCAGAGAGGCAAAGTGCTGCCTTGCAGGATCTCAGGACTCTTGTTCTGTGGACCTCTCCCTCCCTTCCTTCCTCCCTGCTTCCTTCCTCTCTTCTCTCATTCTCTAGGCTAACCCTAATGAAGGCCATCCCAGTAAGCACTGTCAGTCCCATGAGCCTCTAGGAAGGTGGACTTCAGGCATTGGGCCATGCATTTTGGTTTCTTTTAATTTTTTAGAAAGCCATGTGGGAACTGTTGGCATGCCTGAAGTAGTAGAGCACCTGCCTAGCAAACACAAGGCCCTGAGTTCAAGCCCCAGTATCACAAAAAGGGGAGGAGGGCAAAAAGTCTCTACAATGAACAGTCTGATCTGTCGGTATCTACCTAAAGTTCCTGTACCTCTCTAAGAGAAGATATAGATAATCATGGGCTAGGACCTCCCCACCCGCTCCCTGCAGAGTCAAGACATTTCATTTTATATGTGTTTAGATAGGTTAGGTGTTAGCCGGGCACTGATGGCTCAAGCCTGTAATCCTAGCTACTCAGGAGGCTGAGATCTGAGGATCCCCCTTCGAAGCCAACCCGGGCAGGAAAGCCTATGAGACTCTTATCTCCAATTAACCACCAGAAAATAAGAAGTGGAGTTGTGGCTCAAGTGGTAGAGTGCTCACCTTGAGCTGAAGAGCTGAGGGACAGCATCCAGGCCCAGAGTTCAAGCCCCAAGCTTACGTGTTTCATTTCCATCTAGATAATGAATATAAAAATAGACATTTCCTTTTCTTGCAAAAAGCCAATAAACTTTGTTGTTGTTGTTGTTGTTTGTTTTTTGTGGGGGGGGGGGTTGGGTCGTGGGGCTGAACTCTGGCCCTGGGAGCTGTCCCTCAGCTCTTCAGCTCAAGGCTAGCGCTCTACCACTTGAGCCACAGTGCCACTTCCGGCTTTTTTCTTTTTGCTTATGTGGTGCTGAGGAATTGAACCCAGGGCCTCAGGCATGCAAGGCAAGCGCTCTACCACTGAGCCACCTTGCCAGCCCAAGCCAATAAACTTTGTATCTGAACCTTTTTGCATGTGGTTTATTATGATTACAGTTTGTTCTTTGTCCCCCTGCAGATAAGCACTGTTAGTAGTTTCCTCTCTCCCAGACTTTATCTGTGCCAAGAACATATAAAGGCTGAACATGGTAGTTGTCCCCAGACATAACCAGGAGATTCTGGTATAGCTTAGAACACCTTCCTACCTCCTTAGCAAGTGCAAGTCTCCTGAGTTCAAACCCCAGTACTACAAAACAGCAACAACAAAAAACATGAACCATAGGGTCTTATTTCCTACCCTCTTACGTAAAAGATAGATTAATGCCTGACACATAGTAAGTGCTATGTTTTTTGTTTTGTGTTTTTGTCAGTTGTGGGGCTTGAACTCAGGGCCTTGGGTGCTATTTCTGAGCTCTTTTGCTCAAGGCTAGCACTCTACCACAGCATCACTTCTAGTTTTCTGGTGGTTAATTGGAGATAACAGTCCCACAGACTTGCCTGCCCAGTCTGGCTTTGAACCATGGTCCTTAGATTTCAGCCTCTTGAGTAGTTAGGATTACAGGCTGTTCCTCAATTTTTAAAGCTACGTAGTATTCCTGTACATGAGGGTGCTGTGGTATATGGCCCTCATCAGTACACCCCTCTAGGTCTCTCTCCTCATCCTTAGTTGCTATAGCTAAGAGGGTGCTGGGTACAACCATCTCTTACACATTTGAGCTCAGGGTCTTCTCTCCTTGCAGGAAAGGAAAGCAGCAGAGATCTTCCCATTAAAACGTATCTTACGAAGACGCAAGCGAGAGTGGGTGGTGCCGCCTATATCTGTTCCTGAGAATGGCAAGGGCCCTTTCCCCCAGAGGCTGAATCAGGTATGACTGCCCTCCCGCCGCCAGCCATGGTGACTGCAAGCTGGGCTGCAGAGGCTCTTCACTGTGCTGGTGAGGAATTGGCAATGTCAGGAAAATGTCGATGTCAGTTGCCATTTGGTTTTGCTTCCAGCTCAAATCTAATAAGGACCGAGGCACCAAGATTTTCTACAGCATCACAGGGCCAGGAGCAGACAGCCCCCCGGAGGGTGTGTTCACCATAGAGAAGGAGACAGGCTGGCTGCTGCTGAACAAACCCCTGGACCGGGAGAAGATTGCCAAGTATGAGGCAAGTGGCATCTCTGTAGCATACCCCCCCCCGGCCCCAGCATTGTCTCTGTCCCCCCTGGTGGGCTAGGCGTCAGGGGTGGTGGGGGAGCGGCAGGCTGAGTGCAGACTTGTGTGCCCGCAGCTCTTTGGCCACGCCGTGTCGGAGAACGGGGCCTCGGTGGAGGATCCCATGAACATCTCGGTCATCGTGACGGACCAGAACGACCACAAACCCAAGTTCACCCAAGATGTCTTCAGAGGGAGTGTCTTAGAGGGGGTGCTGCCTGGTAAGGGGACCAGGAGAGGGCGACTCTGAGTCTGCTGCACCCAGACCCAGCTTCTGGTCAACTTCTGGAACCAACCAGGAAATGCTGGAATAATCCTCCCCTATCGTCCATACTCCTATTCCTGTGGCTGTACATTCGATTACCTGAGGTCTTCCTATGAGCCCAGCTTTTCCCACTCTACCCCAACACCTCCAAATAAGCACAGGCCTGGGGTGGAGGAATCTGAGGCTTTCCCAGATGCTTTAGGAGGTTACTGAGCCCAGGAGGAGCTAGAGGGATGCAAAAACCAAGATTTGATTTTTTTTTTCAATTTTTATTTGTTTGTTTGGTTTTTTTTGTCGGTTGTGGGGCTTGAACTCTGGGCCTGGGCACTGTCCCTCAGCTCTTCAGCTCAAGGCAAGCGCTCTACCACTTGAGCTACAGCGCCACTTCCGGTTTTCTGGTGGCTTATTGGAGATAGGAGTCTCACGGCCTTTCCTGCCCTGGCTGGCTTTGAACCACGATCCTCAGATCTCAGCCTCCTGAGTAGCTAGGATTACAGGCGTGAGCCACCAGCACCCGGCTTCAATTTTTATTTGTGTGTGTGTGTGCGTGTGTGTGTGTGTGCGTATGCATGCACTGGAACTAGAGCTTGAACTCAAGATCTCACACTTTTACTTGTTTTTTCTGTTGTTTTTTTTTGTTGGCATTCAAGGCTGTTGTTCTACTATTTGAGCCATACCTTCACTTCTGGCTTTTCTTTTTTTTTCTGGTCGGTCCTGGGGCCTGAACTCTGGGCTTGGGCACTGTCCCTCAGCTCTTCAGCTCAAGGCTAGCACTCTACCACTTGAACCACAGCACCACTTCCGGCTTTTTTCTTTTTGCTTATGTGCTGAGGAATCGAACCCAGGGCCTCAGGCATGCAAGACAAGTGCTCTACCACCGAGCCACCTTCCCAGCCCCTGGCTTTTTTTTTTTTTTTTGTCAGTCAGGCTTGAATTCTGGGCCTATGTGCTGTCCCTCAGCTCTTCAGCTCAAGGTTAGAGCTCTATCACTTGAGCCACAGCACCAGTTCATGGACTTTTCTGCCTGGGCTGGCTTTGAACTGAGATCCTCAGATTTCAGCCTCCTGAGTAGCTAGAATTACAGGTGTGAGCCACCGTTACCCAGCACACTTCTGGATTTTTATTAGTCCATTAGGGATAAGAGTCACAGATTTTTCTACCCCACTGGCTTCAAACCTTGATCCTCAAATCTCAGCTTCCTGATATGCAGCTTAAGATTTGATTCTTCTTTTTTATTGTGAAAATACCATACAGAGAGGTTACAATTACATGGGCAAGATAATGAGTACATTTCTTATCAAGCATTGTTGCCTCCCTCTTTGTTTCCCCTTCCCATCCCTTCTCATCTCCCAACCCCCGCCCCCCCCAAAGAGTTGATTCTTAACTTTGCCTTTCTCCTGGATGTGTCCCTAGGCAGAGTCTCAACCTCTGAATCCTAATAATTATGTTAAAAATTGGGAATAATATCCAAATTAAGGGATGACAATTAGAACATGTGTTTAGCCTGTGCCAGAGCCTGGGTTGGAGGAAATGCCATCACATGATTTACTATGAAGCGCCTGACTGGAAGTTCTTCTGCTATGAGGGTTGTGGCTGGGAGGCACTTGATCTGTGGAGAACAGAACAAGTTGCTAGGGCTAGAGAAGAGGGTGGTGGGGAGCAGCACACCTCTCAAGGAGAGGCTCCTCCTCTGTAGTGAAGACTCACTGCTAATGTCAGAAAGTCCCACAATAAAAACACTTTGACCAGGTGCTTACAGCTCACCCCTGTAATCCTCACTATTCAGAAGGCTGGTTTATGATTTAAAGCCAGCCCAGTCAAGAAAGTCCAAGAGACTCCCATCTCAGTTAACTACCAAAAAGCCAGAAGTGGAGGTTTAGCTCAAGTGGTAGGGCATCAGCCTTAGCAAAGAAGCTAAGGGATAGCACCCTAGCCCTGAGATTGAGGCTTATGTTCATGTGTGGGTGTGGGTGTGCACACGCACCCACACATAGACTTTTTTTATTATTATTGTGAACATACTGTACAGAGGGGTTACAATTACATGGGCAAGATAATGAGTACATTTCTTATCAAGCATTGTAGCCTCCTCCTTTGTTTCCTCTTCCCATCCCTTCGTATCCTCTCCCCCCCAACCCCTGTGTCCCCCACCAAAGTTGTAAAGTTCGTTTTTCGACATAATGACTTGTACATCTCATTGTTGCAATGGGTCCTCCTGTATCCCTGTTTTAACAATTTGTTTTTTCCCTTCCCCTCCACATATACACAACATCATATATAGTGAAAGCAGGGGTTATACCATGGGGGAGGTACATACAAGGCAACAAAGACATAATCTTATAAATACACACATAGACTCTTAACTCCAATTAACCAACAAAAAGCCAGAAGTAGAGATGTTGGCTCAAGTGGTACAGTGCCAAAAAAAAAAAAGCTTGGGAAATAGTGTTTTCTCCCAGGTGGATCAGAGCCCGGCCTGAAAAAAAAAAAAAAAGATGGCATCTTTTAAGAAAGAAGAATAGGTTCCAGATGGGCTCCGGCTAGCTTCAAAGTAGAACCGCTGAGGTTGGAATTGGAGCTGGCAGAGAAAGCTTGTCACCTTTCCCTTCTCCTCTCCAGGCACTTCTGTGATGCAGGTGACAGCCACAGATGAGGATGATGCCATCAACACGTACAACGGCGTGATCGCCTACACCATCCATAGCCAGGAACCGAAGGACCCGCACGACCTCATGTTCACCGTCCATCGGAGCACTGGCACCATCAGCGTCATCTCCAGTGGCCTGGACCGGGAGGTTGGTGATCCGGGGAAAATGCTAACCACCAGGCTCTCCCAGGCCGGGCCTGATCAGAGAGAAGCTCTAGGCACCTCTCCCTTTGGCGTCCTGCCAGATGGCCTCCCCGGATCCCTGCTGAGGAGAGGGGGGAGATGGCAGGTGCCACATGGAAACTCGGTGTTTTCTGGAGGTTTTCTCATTTCCTCTCAGAATGGCTCTCAGTGTGCACATTGCTTCGATCTGTCCCTGGCGGGCCACAAAGTGGGATTAGCTCCGAGCAAACTGGTGTTGCATTCTGTTTCTTAATGAATGTCTTTGGAGAAACAGCCGAGGGTCAGGAACAGGCCCTGGGGAGCTATTGGGACCTGTGATCATCCTATGGCCCCCCTCAACTTCTTGCCTCTGTTCTACGTGGTGGGGGCCCAGGGAAGGGGGGAGAAAACAGCATGAGAGAGGGGAAGAAGCCACCACTGCCTTTCCTGCTACCCCAAGGCTGTGCTTTCTGGAACCCAAGCAAGGACTGGAGTCCCCATGAGCTTCCTCTCTCCTCCCTTTCTCCCCAGAAAATCCCTGAGTACACGCTGACCATCCACGCTACAGACCTGGATGGGGAAGGGTCCTCTGCCACAGCAGTGGCCATAGTAGAGATTCTTGATGCCAATGACAATGCGCCCGTGTTCGAGCCCCAGAAGGTAATGTCCCTCTTCCCTTGCTCCCAGGCACTAGCAATGGGCTGAGTGTTTACCTAGCTACATTGCTTTTAGTCCCAGTCTCCTTACTTATCCCAGTACCTGACCATTCTGTGCCCCATTCCCTCATCTGTGGAACAGAGATAATGATAAAATGACTGCCACATCTTTCTGGTCAGAAATGAAATGATATATGTTCAGGTCTTAACACAAGCCTGGAAAAGGGTGCTTGACAGGAAAATCTTTGATATGGAAACATACTGGCCACATTCCTATACACGCTCAGCTTCCCCATGAATTCGTGTTCCTTCCAGTGACAGACAACTCAGTGTGATTCAAGGGGACATACATACTACATCTCATCCATAGACAAGTCCAGCTGCTGAATGTTATTTAAGGGATTTTTAAAAGCTTGTTCTAAGCCAGGCACCGGTGGCTCACACCCGTAATCCTAGCTACTCAGGAGGCTGAGATCTGAGAATCGAGGTTCAAAGCCAGCCGGAGCAGAAAGTCCATGAAACTCTTATCTCCAATAAACCACTAGAAAACTAGAAGTGGTGCTGTGGCTCAAGTGGTAGAGCACTCGCCTTGAGCTGAAAAGCACAGGGACAGCACCCAAGCCCAGAGTTCAAGCCCCACGACTGACCCCTCCCCCCCCCCCCCCCAAAAAAAAATTTTTTTTGTTCTAAGCTGGCACTAGTGGCTCACACCTGTAATCCTTGCTACTCAAGAGGCTGATTCTGAGGGTCGGAGTTCAAAGCCAACCAAGGCAGAAAAGTCTCCATGAGACTGATCTCAAATTAACCACTCAAAAACCACAAGTGGTGCTATGGTTCAAGTGATAGAGTGCTAGCCTTAAGCAAAATTGCTCACAGACAGCAGCTCAGGCCCAGAGTTCAAGCCTTATAACCATCTAAATAAATAAATAGAAATTTGTTTCATTTTAAGCTGGGCACTGATGGCTCACACCTGTAATCCTAGCTACTCTGGAGGCTGAGATCTGAGGATCATGGTTCAAAGCCAGCCTGGATAGGAAAGTCTGTGAGGTTCTTATCTCCAATTAACTACCAGGGCACTATGGCTCAAAGTGGTAAAATGTTAACCTTGAGCAAAAGAGCTCAAGAACAGCCTGGGTGCCCCGAGTTCAAGCCCCATAACAAAAAAGAGAGAGAAAGGAAGGAAGGGAGAGAAAAGAGAAAAAAAAATTGTTCTGAGTGGCTGACCTTCCAGCCTTTACTGACCAGCACAAACTTCCATAGAAGCTCCTGGCCAGCGCCCTGACATAGCCAGGCACTGGCCCTTCAGATCTCAGCTAGACAGGCGGCTGTGCACAGCCTTGGCTAGGCCGCCCAGACCAGCAAAATTCTTGAGCACTAGGCCCTGGAGGGGGACAGAAAGTGGGTCCAGTGTTGGTGTGTCCTGTCCCCATGACAGGGAGTCTGATACTCAGGACTTTCTTCACAGTGTGTGCCTCAAAAACCTGCTGGGGGGCGGAGGCTGGTGGTCCAGGAAAGGGGAAAGGCCATGGGGTTTTCTCAGAAGTAGTCTAGAGGGGTTGCAGGCTCGGATGGTCAGGCTCAGCTCTCATGAGGCTGCTTCCCACGCCGACAGTACGAGGCCCGGGTACCCGAGAACAAAGTGGGCCAGGAAGTGCAGAGGCTGACAGTGACCGACCTGGACGCCCCCAACTCACCAGCCTGGCGTGCCTCCTACCGCATCGTGGGAGGTGACGCCGCGGACCATTTCACCATCACCACGCACCCTGAGAGCAACCAGGGTGTCCTGACCACCAGGAAGGTGAGTGCAGTTGGGCTTCAAGCAAAGAGCATACCTGGGACGGCCAGGTCTGCATCCCCTCCCCCTCTCCCCCCCCCACCAAGGAGGGCTGCTCATCACCTCAGGTCACTTGTCTGGGTCCATTCCTGGGGGATTGCCCCCCTCATTCCCGTGTTGAGGATCCTGTTGTCCAACACCCACTTATGACAATGTGAGAAGTACTGCTGTTTCTCCTCTCTCCCTCCTCCTTTCTCCCCTTCCTCCTCTTCCTTGTTCTTTCTCCTCCCCCTCCTCCTCTCCCTCTTCCTCCCCCTCTTCCTCTCCCCACCATCCTGGACCTCCTTCCAAAGCCTGGTGTCCACAGGCTACATGTGTCTGGTCATTTCCCACTGAGGGTCTCGGCCTTACCCGGATTAGGCTCATTTGCTCCTCCTTACTCTCTTACAAACCTTTCTAGGAATTTAGAAGTAGAAAGTTTTAAATTAGTAAATACATCTTTGACTTTCAAAAAGCCTATTTTGCCAGGCACTGGTGGCTCAAGCTTGTAATCCTAGCTTCTCAGGACGCTGAGATCTGAGGATTACAGTTTGAAGCCAGCCAGGATAGGAAAGTCAGTGAGACTCTTTGCTCCAATTAACCACCCAAAAACCAGAAGTGGATCTGTGGTTCAAGTGATAGAGTGTTAGCATTGAGCAGAAGAGCTCAGGGACAGAGCCCAGGTCCTAAGTTCAAGCCCCAGGACACCTCCCCCCCCCCCCCCCCCCCCCCCACACACACACACTTAAAAATGGATGTTTCTAGAAGAATCAACTACATTAGAACACATCATGAAGCACTTGAGAATCTAAGACATTCGAGCCACAAATGTAGCCAGAGGCTACATGTCTCAAAAATATAAACATAATGAAGTGGTTAGTTAACTCAGCCTGTTTGTTGAACCATCCAGATACATGGATACTGTATCATCTTGGCAACACCACCACTACTGGTACTGGTGTCCTCTCTGAACAGTGAGCAAACAAGTCCCAGAGAAGTCCCGATCAAATTCAATTATGAGCCCCTTTAAAAGTTGCATGGCTAGAAAATGCAGTATATATTAAAACCACACCAACATCTTGGCTATATATGTAAAACATATTCTTAACTCAAATTCCAAGCAGATTTTCTCCTACCCACAAATGTATAGATGGCCAAGGGGATATTGGCTAGTCATGTAGGATGTGGGATCAGTTCCTGGTGTCTCAAAGGAACGAGGGACCACTGCCCCAACCTATAGATGCCAAAGGCACCCCCATCTGTAACAACTAGAATGTTTCTAGAAGTTTCTCAAACACCCCAAGGTCCATGTCATCTGTCCTGGAGGATGTCGCTGCCCCATTGGGAACAAGTGTTCTAGGCTTTCCTAAGCTAGTTGTCTTTGGAACAATCTCAGTGTCCACTTGGGAAAAACAGGAAGCTTTGGGAGTGGGGGGACAAAGAAGAGGCAGGACTGTTGCTTGTGGGGGCCTCAAAACCCTCCTTGTGGCCCTTGTGAGACCCATATACCTCCTCACAGAATGATGGTTCAGATCCTCCTTCTTCCCTAGGGTTTGGACTTCGAGGCCCAAAACCAGCACACCTTGTATGTCGAAGTGACCAATGAGGCGCCCTTCGTGGTGAAGCTCCCCACCTCCACGGCCACCGTCGTGGTCCATGTGGAAGATGTGAACGAGGCTCCCATGTTTGTCCCATCATCCAAAGTCATCGAGGCCCAGGAGGGCATCTCCGTCGGGGAGACTGTCTGCATCTACACTGCACAAGACCCTGACAAGGAGGGTCAGCAGATCAGGTACCCAGGCCCCAGGCCAACCAAGCACACAGGGACAGTGAGTGGGTTATAGGAGTTACCATAACGATTGTTCGGAAGTTTGGACTTCACCCTTAATTAGACCTCTCTTCCTGCGGTGCTCAAGGCTGACAACGAGGTAGGGGTTCAGGGGACAGGTGTGTCCTGTCGACGCCCTTCCATCCCTCCCTGCCACCTCAACTCCCTCTCTGCTTTAGGCTCCATTTACAGTGAGATACAGCCCCTGTGGTCCTTAGCAACTCCGTCCTGAGAAGACTTTAAATGGTGACGCTACAGTTCTAAGTATGCTGGATACGGGCCTTCTCTTCCTCCAGCTACCACATCCTGAGAGACCCGGCAGGGTGGCTGGCCATGGACCCAGAAAGCGGAAGGGTCACTGCAGCAGGCACATTAGACCGAGAAGATGAGCGATTTGTGAAGAACAATGTCTACGAAGTCATGGTCTTGGCCACCGACAATGGTGAGGGCCTACGGTGCTTCCAGCAGGGGACAGGTCACGTGATGTCATGTGTTCCCTTCCCAGCAGAGGACAATGCAGGGAGGAGCCAGCGAGCCAGTCTGCAGTTACAGGGCTCCTAGGGTGACTGCTGTGATTTTGATTACTCAGAAATCCCCAGAGTCACCAGTGGGTGTGAAGACTTTCTTCAGCTGAGGTTTTGGTTCACTGAACCCTGAATTGGTCTTCAGTGTTGGTGGTGGTGGTGGTGGTGGTGTTGGTCATGGAACTAAGGACCTGGGCCCTGTTCCTGAGCTTTTTCACTCAAGGCTAGCACTTTACCACTTTGAACACAGCTCAACTTCCGGTTTTCTGGTAGCTAATTGGAGCTAAGAGTCTCATGGACTTTCTTGCCCAGGCTGGCTTTAAACCATGATACTTAGATCTCAGCCTCCTGAATAGTTAGGATTATAGGTGTGAACCACCAGCTTGGCTTGGTTAATAGTCTTTTAGTTTTGGTTGTAGGGTTTGAACTCTGGGCCTGGGCGTTGTCCCTCAGCTCTTCAGCTCAAGGCAAGCACTCTACCACTTGAGCCACAGTGACACTTCCAGTTTTCTGGTGGTTAATTAGAGATAAGTCTCATGGAGTTTCCTGCCCAAGCTGGTTTTGAACCGCAATCCTCAGAGCTCAGCCCCCTGAATAATTAGGATTACAGGTGTGAGCCACCAGTGCCTGGCTTAGTTAATATTCTTATGGTTGATTAAAGGGGTAGGTCTTGAAAATACTATGATTAGTGATGTCACACCATGACCAATGGGGCATAAAGACAGTTGTCATCTCTGCCTGACACAGAGTGAATCATGACCTGGAGGCAAGTTCCCTGAACTGATCAGCTGACATTGCTGTGGCCAATAGATTTTTCTCTGTGATATATTATGACTATCCAGATGCTGTGGTGGCTGCAGCTGTGCTGTGATCGGCTAATAATGTCTACCATGGTCAGAAAAAGGAGATAGATTGCCATAGATTACAGCATGAGGGACCATGAAGTTTGAGCTGGGAGCCTCTCCAAGGCTGACCAAGTAGGTCTTGGGACATAGGCTGAAACAACATTGCTTGTGTGTGATTATGAACAGGGAGCCCACCCGCTACTGGCACAGGGACCCTACTGCTGACACTTACGGACATCAATGACCATGGCCCGCTCCCTGAGCCCCGTCAGATCGTCATCTGCAACCAAAGCCCAGTGCCTCAAGTGCTGAACATCACCGACAAGGACCTGTCGCCCCACTCTTCCCCTTTCCAGGCCCAGCTCATACACGACTCAGACATCCACTGGATGGCAGAGGTCAATGAGAAAGGTAAGGGCGAATGCTAGCTCTGCTGGATGGCTGGACCCTGCTCACATTCTTGCTGCAGCATCTTGTGGGTCACAGAGTCAATGGGCTCCTCAAAGATGGCAGCCAAAGCCAGGTGGCTCACGCCTGTAATCCTAGCTACTCAGGAGGCTGAGAGCTGAGGATCGCTGTTCAAAGCCAGCAGCAGGAAAGACCGTGAGACACTTACCTCCAATAAACCACCAGAAAACCGGATGTGGTGCTATGGCTCAAGTGGTAGAGCACTGGCCTTGAGCTGAAGAGCTGAGGGACAGTGCCCAAGCCCAGAGTTCAAGCCCCACGATCGACAAAAAAATTTGTGTTGGGGGGGGTTGTTTTTTGGGGTTTTTTTGCTGGGTGTGGGGCCTGAACTCTGGGACTGGATGCTGTCCCTCAGCTCTTCAGCTCAAGGCTAGCACTCTACCACTTGAGCCACAGCACCACTTCTGGCTTTTTCTGCTTATGTGGTACTGAGGAATTGAACCCAGGGCCTCACGCATGCAAGGCAAGCACTCTACCACTGAGACACTTCCCAGCCCCCCGACAAAAAATACATAGCAGCTAAATGCTGTTTGTTAGCCCTTAGCATCCTCTGAGCCCTAAAGAACCTTTCTGATCCATACAACTTTCCTGTAGACGTGGGAAAACCACCCAGACAGAGGAAGTGACTTGCCCAGTATTACATAGCAAGAGTCAGGAGCCCAGCACAGTGATAGTAGAGGACACACCCTGAGTGAGCTTGCTGTGGACGCTGCACTCTGGAGAGGGTGGTGTTCACATCTGCCCTGGGAAGGAAGAGCTGTAGCCTACCTCCTCCTCCCCATCTCTTGATACACATGTTACAGATGCTTAATCTTTTTATGTGTATACCAGTACTGGGGTTTAAACTGAGAGCCGGGGCTGGGAAGGTGGCTCAGTGGTAGAGCGCTTGCCTTGCATGGCCCAGAGTTCAGGCCCCATGACCGGACCCAAAACAAACAAACAAACAAACAAATAAACTGAGAGCCTGGGCACTGTCCTATAGTTTCTTGGCCTTTTCTACTCAGGATGCCAAGATCTGAGGATCATGGTTCAAAGCCAACCCAGGCAGAAAAGTCTGTGAGAGGGGGCTGGAAAGGTGGCTCAGTGGTAGAGTGCTTGCCTTGCATGCATGAGGCCCTGGGTTTGATTCCTCACCACCACATAAGCAAAAAGAAAAAAGCCGGAAGTGGCGCTGTGGCTCAAGAGGTAGAGCGCTAGCCTTGAGCTGAAGAGCTGAGGGACAGTGCCCAGGCCAGAGTTCAAGCCCCATGACCAACCAAAAAAAGAAAGAAAGAAAGAAAGAAAAGTCTGTGAGACTCTTACCTCTAATTAACCAGGTTGAGTGTCAGCCTTGAACAACAACAACAACAAAAAAAAAACTAAAAAACTAAGGGACAATGCCCACGTCCTGATTTCAAAGCCCAGTACTGATACGCACACACACACACACACACACAGAGGAAGGAAGAGAAATAAAATGATGAACTTATTTTCATTCCCCATAGTCCTCTCCATGACAGTGAATTTGGCATTAGCCCTTTGGGCTTTTGAGTACAGAGAGCAAACCCTGGCCTCCTGCGCATGCTCTATCCCTGAGCCGCCCTCCCACTTAAAGTGCTAATGTAACTTGCTCCGGGCTACTCTTGATGTACTCTGCTCAGATGCTGAGCAGCCCTCATCCTGGGGTCCTTACTTCCCACCACCCCTGGCCCCCAAGACTAATGACTCACCCGCCCACTCCAGGAGACTCGGTGGCCTTGTCTTTGAAGAAGTTCCTGAAGCAAGACACGTATGATGTGTACCTCTCTCTGTCTGACCTCGGCAACAAGGCACAGCTGACGGTGATCAGGGCCACCGTGTGTGACTGCCATGGCCACGTGGAAGACTGTCCGGAGCCCTGGAAGGGCGGTTTTGTCTTCCCTATCCTGGGGGCTATCCTGGCCCTGCTGTGTGAGTATCACATGCTTCCCCATCTGACACCAGAGTGGTTGAGAGAATGGTTCTTCTCTGAACTTCTGAGACTAAGGGACCTGGAGTACCACTAACCAGTTGGCTGGCAGAAGTACTTCTTGATTTGGATATAGTGACACATGCCTGTGATCCTCTAGGCTGGTGACATGGGAAGTTCTTAGAAGTTTTTTTTGTTGCTGTTGTTTGTTCTTTTGTCAATCCTGGGGCTTGACCTCAGGTTCTAGGCTCTGTCCCTAAGCCTCTCTGTGCTCACACAGAGCCACTTCTGCTTTTTCTGTTCATGTGGTTCTGAGGAATCAAACCCAGGGCTTCCTGCATGCTAGACAAGCCCTCTACCACCAAGCCGCATTCCCAGCCCCTTCGAAGGTTTTAAGCAGGGGAGTGATGTGCTGTGGTGTAAATTCTTCATGATTCCTACTGAAAGGAATGTTGGAGGCCTAGGGTGGAGGCAGGAAGACCATACAGAAAGCTGTTGCCATCATCCAGGGCAGAGCAAGTGTTTGGTGGCTATGACCAAGATGGCTGTCTCTGAGTAGGTTGTATTTCAAGACAGTCAATTCAAATTGATACGAGAAGAGTCACCAAAGACATCAAAGCTTTTGGCCTGAGAGATAGAAACCAAGGGTTTCCTTCTGCTCACCAGTTGGAGAAGGAAATGGGGGAAGAAATTTTTGTCTGTCCGTAAGTAGAGAGATGAGTGGGCACTGGGAAATGCAGTCTGGCTCTTGCTTTCTCTCAGACCTGTGGTGTGGGATTGGGGAGTGAATTAAGCATCAGAAAGCTGGCCAGGAGGGGCTGGGAAGGTGGCTCAGTGGTAGAGCGCTTGCCTTGCATGCCTGAGGCCCTGGGTTCGATTCCTCAACACCACATAAACAAAAAGAAAAAAAAGCCAGAAGTGGCGCTGTGGCTCAAGTGGTAGAGCGCTAGCCTTGAGCTGAAGAGCTGAGGGGCAGCGCCCAGGCCCAGAGTTCAGGCCCCAGGACCGGACCCAAAAAAAAAAAAGAAAGAAAGAAAGCTGGCCAGGGAATCAGCTTCCAGCAGCAGCGAAAATAGCAGTAACCCTAAATGCTCTGTGTCCTTCCATCTGAGCCACCACAGAAGGAGGGCGGGAGGGTGCTCCTTTACTGTGGATTATCTGTTCAGTTCAAGTCTGGCTAGTTGAGGTGAATAAGGGGCTCATTGGAAGGCAACACCTAGAATATGCAAGGGCCAATGTCCCCTGTATGGGATGTCTGGCAGTATGATCTAGAACTCCACGTGGGAAGATGGAGGCTTACTGCTGCTAGGAGGAGGTGACTAAGGCTAAAACTGTGTTTCACAGGTGAGTAGATTTGAGGAAGTCTAGAGAAGCGGGTGTGGCTAGACCTTGGTAAGGGGGGAGAGGATGGGAGACCAAGAGGAAGCCAGATTGCAGACAGGTGCCGGTGGCTCATGCCTGTAATCCTAGCTACTTGGGAGGTTGAGATCTGAAGATTGCAGTTCAAAGCTAGCTGGAGCAGGAATGTCTGTGAGACTCTTATATCTCCAGTTAACCACCAGAAGATGGAAGTGGTGGTGGAGCACTAGCCTTGAGCAAAAGAGCTCAGGGACAGTGCCCAGATCCTGAGTTAAACCCCATAACCACCACCACCAACAACAACAAAAAGCCAGATTGCGGGAGCTTTGAGGAGTTGAGTGGAACTTCCTTAAGTGCAAAGGAGTAGTCACTGTGTGTTCAGTTTGGCGGGGGGTGGAGGTTGGTTTTCACTTGTTTTTTCCTGCTCAAGGCTGGTACTCTGCTACTTGAGCCACACCTCTACTTCTGGCTTTTTGCCAATTAATCAGAAATAAGGGTTGAAGCCTAGGTTGGCTTCAAACTGCAGTCCTCAGATCTCAGCTTGCTGAGTAGTTAAGATGACAGATGTGAGCCACCAGCTCCTGACTGGGTTTTAATTTCAGTGGGGCTTCTGAGAGCCTGGGGGTCGTGGCAGGCCCTGTGCCGGGGTGAGTATTCACATCCCCAACTATTTCAGTCCTCCTGCTGGTTCTCCTCCTACTGGTGAGAAGGAAACGGAAGGTCAAAGAGCCCCTCCTGCTCCCGGAAGATGACACACGGGACAATGTCTTCTACTACGGCGAGGAGGGTGGTGGTGAAGAGGACCAGGTGAGGGCCTGGGGTAGGGGTGGAGTGGGCATCCACCAGGCAGGAATGGGTTAAGGTCACCCAACCAAGCCCTGGCCAGCCTTGGCAGAGGCCTCGGCCTGAGTACAGAATAGAGCACTAGCTTTCCTCTTCTGTCCATCACTGTAGTCCAGCACTATAGCTTTTCTGGTCAAGTCGACTGAGCCTCAAGTCCGTGCTTAAGTTGAGAGGCTGGGGAGGGTGGAAATGGGGGCTTTTTGAGGTCTCTGGCATGATCAGGAGCAGCGCGGCCCAGGGCGAAGCACAGCGGCTGGGGGCTGCGGAGATGCTCAGCCCTGTGCTTCTGTTCATTTTCCTGAAGGACTACGATATCACTCAGCTGCACCGGGGGCTGGAGGCCAGGCCCGAGGTGGTCCTGCGCAATGATGTGGCGCCCACCTTCATCCCCACACCCATGTACCGGCCCCGGCCTGCCAACCCTGATGAGATCAGCAACTTCATCACCGAGGTGAGGTGCGGTGGGCCTCGTGCATGAGCAGTACCGCAGAACACGCTTGGGGCTTACAGGCTTGGCTGTGGGTTCAGATCCTGTTTCTCTACCACCAATTGACTCTATGTCCTCTGCTAAGTGCCTCTGTGCAGGTTTCTTTCTTCATAAACCCATTTGACTGACTGGGTAAGGATACTGGGTAAGGAGTCATTTATTCAAATCTCTCCATTGTATTTTGAAGATACTGTGGAGCTAGACTTACTAGGTTTAAGGTTTAGAGAGTTCAAAATGGAGCTGGGAATGTGGCTAGTGACCCGTGCTTGCCTAGCATGCATGAAACCCTGGGTTCGATTCCTCAGTGCCATATAAACAGCAAAAGCCAGAAGTGGTGGTATGGCTCAAGTGGCAGAGCTCTTCAGCTCAAGGACAGCGCCCAAGCCCAGAGTTCAAGCCCCACTACTGACCAAAAAATAAAGGAGTCCCAAGTGGAAGAAAAGGATGTAGAGGAAAAGTCTGGAAGTTCTGCCTGTAGATTGCTTCCAGGGTTAAATGAGGAAGCTTCTAGAACAAGGCTGCCACAGAGGCTCCCAAAGGACCCTCCGGCCATTGGAATCACTTGGGGAACCTGAAAGACCATGAGAGGCTCTGACCCTGCCGAGCAGATCACACGCGCAGTCAGCCACGAGTTTGATGTGAGGGTGGTCAGGGGCTGGAGCCACACAGTAAGCCAAGGTCCTTAATAACAGAAAGAGGAATTCAGCACCTGCTGTGGCCGAGGGTTGGTGACCATGAGCAGAGGGGCTGGGCTTGGCTCCAGCCCTCCCCCCATCTCTCTCCTTCCCTCCTTCCCTTCCTCCTTTCTCTCTGTCTCTCTCTCTCTCCCTCCTCCATCCCTCCCTCCCTCAGTTTTCCTTGCCTTCTACCAATAATGCGATGGGTGTGAGCCTTTGTTCCTTACCCTGGTGTGTGTGAAAGAGTACTGAGCCCAAAACCGCGTGGGGCGGGAGGGGGGGAAGCTGCTCATGGCACAGGGTAGCTGGTTTGGAGAAGGTGCTGTGGACTAAAGACCCGGTGGTCATCAGAGGAATGTGTGTGTGTGTACACTGGGGCTTGAACTCAGGGCCTGGGCACTTGCCCCTTAGGGTTTTTTTTTTCATCCGTTGTGGGGCTTGAACTCTGGGCCTGGAGCTCTCCCTCAGCTCTTTAGCTCAAGACGAGTGCTTTACCACTTGAGCCACAGCGCCACTTCCGGTTTTCTGAGTGGTTTACTGGAGATAAGAGTCTCACGGACTTTCCTGCCTGGACTGGCTTTGAACTGTGATCCTCAGATCTCAGCTTCCTGAGTTGCTAGGATGACAGGCGTGAGCCACCAGCACCCGGCTACCCCTTAATTTTTTCACTCAAGGCTACACCTTAGAGCCATACTTTCACTTCCAGCTTCTTGCTGGTTAATTGAGAATAGTCTTGTGAACTTTCCAGTCTGGCTGGCTTCAAACCACGATCCTCAGCTCTCAGCCTCCTGAGTAGCTAGGACTACAGGTGTGAGCCACCGGCGCCCAGCTTCTTTATTCTTTCTAGACTGGTGAGAGCCTGGCCATCCAAGGTCCCAAAATGAGTGTATGTGGGGGCGGGGACAGCGCCACCCTTGCCCACAAGCCATGTCCCACTGAGCTGACCTGCTGAACGCTTCCTTCCTTGAGTTATTTCAACCTCCGAAGTGGAGGGCGAGGCCAGCTGGCCTGCCTGCCCAGGACCTGGAGGTCAGCGACTCCTCACTGGCCATTCTCTGTTGTGGCAGAACCTGAAGGCGGCCAATACCGACCCCACGGCCCCGCCCTACGACTCCCTGCTCGTGTTCGACTACGAGGGCAGCGGCTCGGACGCGGCGTCGCTCAGCTCCCTCACGTCCTCCGCCTCCGACCTGGACCAGGACTACGACTACCTGAGCGAGTGGGGCAGCCGCTTCAAGAAGCTGGCCGACATGTACGGAGGCGGCGGCGACGAGGACTAGGCCGGCCCGCAGGCCCAGGGACTGAACATCTGGCCACAGCAGCTTCTCCCAGAGGGGTCGGTTCCCCTCCATCACCTCCGCCCTCAAGGAATTGGGGGTGCTGCTCAGCAGCCTGGAGGGCAGAGGCTGCAAGGCTGGCGCTCAGAGCTGGGTTCTAGGCCACTGACAGTGGAAGACATGGATACCTTCAACACCCACCACCTCTTGGCCTGGGTCCAGATGGCCGCAGGAGCTGAACTTCCAGAAGTTTCCCACCTGCTGTAATGTGCTCAGCCAAGGCCCGGGCCCAGGCCTCAGCCCTCTCCCATGCCCCATGTGGCATTTCTCTCTAAAAAATGGATCCTTTTCTTTGGACAGAGGCCTATTACTAAAACTGATCCAATTTGGGGCGGGGGGCCTGTTTGTTTTTTGTTTTTAATGATATATTCAAAGAGTTCCAGGCCGGTCCCTGGTGTCCCCTTGGGTCTCCTATGTCCCCGCGCCTCACCCCCCACGCGCCTGGTGCTGGTCCTCATGCCTCGCCGCTCTCCAGGCCCCGAGGTGTTGCATGCGGCTGGCTCACTGCATTTTTATCTGTGGATGTCTAGGTGGTTCTGTATGTTTTTGTTTTGTTTTGTTTTTAATTTTCCCCTACTTTTTTTTTTTTAATTTTCCCCGTGGCGTGCCGTAGATTGGAGGGTGATGACAATCGTGTAAATGTATTAGAACTTTTTTATTAAAGGAACTTTTCCCAGAAGGGTCTGGAGAGTGGATTATCTAATTTCCATAATTGTTCACCCAAGGCAAGGGTTCAGTTCAGTGGGTTTTAAGTTTTTCGGGGTTGTGTCAAAGGATGAGATCTCTCAGGCCTGCTGGCTTCTCCACAGCTTTGCCCCGCTACTCCAGCAGGAAAGACCTTGTGAAGGATTCAGGAAGGTCTGGATGCGGGATGCTGACCTCCCCTTCTCCCTGGAAATTCAGAGCCATTCCATTGCGGAACCATTAACCTCCTTTCCCTGCGGCTGAGTGTCACCAGTGGCCAGGCAAGGCCACCTAGCCTGTACTTGAGTTTAGACTCTTCTTTACAAATGGGCAGTGTTGGGGAGGTGGTTATAGTGATTAAATGACTTAATATCTGGCATATAACAAGTGCTGTTTGTGCTAGTTGGTTTACTGTGGACATGTGGTCAAAACTTTTACAGCCAGACAACAATTAACTTTTGAGTATTTCCTTTCAGTGACCCTCCTAATAAGTAGTCTTGGGATTTTCCTGCTTTAAAGAATCACCTGTCTGCCTTTGGTTTGGGTTTGTTTTGTTGTTTTTAATGCTGCAAGGGCTGGGCATGGTAGGGCGTATCTGTAATCTCAGCACTTGAGCTGCAGGATTGTGAATTCAAGGCTAGGCTGAGCTACATAGTGAGACCTTGTCAGAAGGGAGGGAGGGGGGAAAAAAAAGAGGGAGGCGTGGCCTAGGTGGTGGAGCATCAGCCAATGAGTGAAAACGTTAGAAACTGACTTTAAGTTCCAGTCTCAGACAAAAAAGAAGAAACAAAAATCTGGTCCTCATCAAAATCAAGCAAAATGGAAAATTAGAGAACCCATCAAGACATCATACTGGAACATACTGGACAATGCCAGGGCAGGAATACGGGAGAAAGGACAGAGGCAACAGGGATGGTATGATTCCACTTGTGTCTTCGTTAAAGTGAAGTGGAAAGTTTTGTCTCCAGTGAACCCAAAGAATCTGAAGTAGAGCTCAAGGACTTGTCCCATTTGCAATGAATGGTTCCTGCCCAAAGAGCAACTCGGTCCTTCGAGCAATCCTCGGCGCCCAGATTAGCAGCAGCAGCCTTACCGGCTGACTCCCCCAACCCTCCCCCCCCCCCCCGCCCCGGGGGTGGACCCCACTGGTTTAAGACTCTACCAGATGATGCTCAAGCGCCCTCAGATTTGCCACCAAGGCTCTGACAGCTGATTTTTTTTTTCCCCCTCATCAGTTCTGGGGTTTGAACTCTGGGCCTGGGTGCTGCCCCTCAGCTCAAGGCTAGTGCTCTACCACTTGATTTCACAGCGCCACTTCCAGTTTTCTGGTGGTTTATTGGAGAGGAGAGGCTCACGGATATTCTTGCCGAAGCTGGCTTTGAACCTCGATCCTCAGATCTTGGCCTCCTGAGTAGCTAGGATTACAGGCGTGAGCCAGTGATAACATACTTGCCTAGCCTGCACCAGACCCTGGCTTTGATCCCTACCATCCCACAAGAAGGGGAGGGGAGATTGTGTAGATTTCTCCTGTGTCCTTTGGTCCATTTTGGCTTAGCCTTAGGGCCAATGCGCCTTCCTGCCTCTCCTGAGTGGCAGCCTCTGGATCCCCCTGGGCTGCTCTTGCTGGTAAGGGGGTGTAGAAGGAGTGAGTGCTTCCCATGGGCAAAGTGATACCTTACGTCTGTGCTCTTCAAGTCCTATGACAACAAAGATGGAAATATTTTCAGCTGCTCAGCCACTATTATTAATGACTCCCCAAGTGAGCACTAGCCACACACGCAGCAAAAGAACACATGGCCAGACATGCTAATGGGGACCACCTGAACATTTGACTTGCTAATCCCACACATTTTGTGATTCCCACCATGTGTTGTACATCCTTCTCTTCATCCTCTGTGTATCACACCCACATTTTGTTTGGCTCCACAACAGAGCACACAGGCTGCCTTGCCCATTGCCTCCAGTTTAGCTATAAACATAAGTAGCTGGGCACCCGTGGCGCACACCTGTAATCCTAGCTACTCAGGAGACTGAGATCTAAGGATCACAGTTCGAAACCAGCCCTGGCAGAAAAGTCCCCGTGAGACTCATCTCCAATTAACCACTTAACCAGGTGTTGGAGCCGTGGCTCAAAGTGGTAAAGCACTAGCCTTAAGCAAAGAGCTCAGAGACAGTGCCCAGGCCATGAGTTCAACCCCTACAACCAACAACAACAAAAATTCAAGGTTGTGTGTGGGCTGGGAATATGGATTTGTGGATTAGTGGTAGAGTACCTGCCTAGCATGCATGAAAACCTGGGTTCGATTCCTCAGTACCATATAAACAGGAAAAAGCCAGAAGTGGTGGTATAAAAACTCAAGTGGTAGAGCACACTGGCCTTGAGCACAGAGAGGCTCAGGGACACAGACCAGGCCCTGAGTTCAAACCCCAGGACTGGCAGGGAAAAAGAAAAGCAGGGTGCTGATGGCTCATGCCTGTAATCCTAGCTACTCAGGAGGCAGAGATCTGAGAATTGCAGTTCATAGCCAGCCCGCGTAAGAAAGTCCATACTCGCATCTCCAATTAACCAGAAAAGTGGACGTGATGCTTTGGCTTAAAGTAGTAGAGCACTAGCCTTGAGCTGAAGAGCTCAGGGACAGTGCCCAGGCCGAGTTCAAGCCCACAACCGAAAGTGTGCGTCTGTGCATGCTAGTACTGGGGCTTGAACTGAGGCCTGGTACTTTCACTTTGCTCTTTTGCTTAAGGATATCACTCTACCACTTGAGTCATAACTCCACTTTAGCTTGTTGCTGTTGGAGCTAAGAATCTCTTGGATTTGTTTGCCCACGTTGACTTTGACCTGGGATCCTCAGATCTCAGCCCACTAAGTAGCTTCAAGTTTTTTGTTTTTGTTTTTTGGTCAATAACAATATCAGGCATTCCAGGACATCCATCTTTTCAGACTACTGAATCAATTCTCCAGGGTCTAATGTGGGGTGTTAGGTGGAGATCATGATGGCTGACGGTCAGTCTAAGATAACTGGTTGGAGTTGGAACTCAGCTTTTTTTTTTTTTCTCCTGGGCCTGGGGCTTGAACTCTGGGCCTGAGTGCTGTCCTTGAGCTTCTCTGTGTTCAAGGCTAACACTCTACCACTTGAGCCATGGCTCTACTTCTGCCTTGTTCTGATTATGTGGTACTAAGGAATCGAACCCAGGGCTTCATGCATGCTAGGCAAGCACTCTACCACTAAGCCATATTCCCAGCCCTGAACTCTTAGCTTTGAACTTGCTAACCAATTACTACCCTGGGCATTTTATAGAAAGAAAAAGACTCTAAAGAAAGAACTCTTTCCCTCTCTGCAGCAGGGCAGAGATCCACCAAGCCTTGTTGCTGATAATCCTTTTTTTTTTCTCCTCCCCAAAGGAGGGAATAACTCCCATTTGCCTAGGTGAGCAGGTAGCTGAAGCCCCAAATTCCTAACCCTTCCCTCACTCTTCTTCCTTAAGCACTGGAACCCACCACATGGATATTGGTGATCCAGTCAGGGTCCTGCCTAGCCATGGCCAGTCAGGGAGCCATAGCCAGGGCAGTGTTACAGTATTGGGAGGGCGGGGAGGGAGCAGTCACACTGGGACCAGCCCACTATGAGTCCAGTCCCAAGGAGGGTAAATCCTTTCCATTGAAGCCGCCTCCAGTGAGAGCAAGGCTCAGCGCAGGCTCAGGTCCTTGGAGAAGTTGCTTTGTTGCTCCATCCTGTACCTTGGATTCCTATCTATTCAGTGCCCTGAAGGGTGCCTGGCATACAAGGGCTACATGTCACTGCTGTTACTGCTAATGTGGAGTTCAAGGGGATAACGGGCAATTGTTGCCCCCTTTGTTTCCACACTCCCACCGTGGGTGGAAAATGCATTTCCAGCAGAAGGAATTCCTAGAGATTCCCAGGCTGCTGGAAATGTCTTCAGTGGTCTGACTGCTGTGTATGTGCCAAAGATACTTCCTCTCTCTGCCGGCAGAGGGCACCATTCACCTAAACCAACGAAGCCCTACCAGGTGCCTCCCAACTTGTTCCCGCAGTCAAGCTGGGAGCTGAATGGAGCAGCATGGGTGTTTAGGGAGTCTGCTGTGTGGCAGGGACGTGCTGTCACAGAATGCAGGCTCAATTTAATAGTGGCTAAAACAATGAGAGATTTTCTTGATCTCAGAATGGCCATCAAAAAGCCAGAAGTGGGGCTGTGGCTCAAGTGGTAGAGTGCTAGCCTTGAGCAAAAGAAGCCCAAGGACAGTGCCCAGGCCCTGAGTTCAAGCCCCAGGACTGCCAAAAAAAAAACCCTGCAAGGTTTGGTGTGGTGGCGCATGCCTGTAATCCCAAGTCAGCCCAGACAAAGCTATAGAGACCCTGTCTCAAAAAACAAAATGCACATACAAAAAGGGCTGGAGGGGTTGTCTGGCCAACGTGTAAGGCCCTAGGTTCAATCTCCAGTGCCATTAAGAAAACTTTTGTCGGTTGTGGGGCCTGAACAGCTCTTCAGCTCAAGGCTAGCACTCCTACCACTTGAGCCACAGCACCACTTCTGGCTTTTTCTGCTTATGTGGTACTGAGGGATCGAACCCAGGGCCTCATGCATGCAAGGCAAGCACTCTACCACTGAGCCACTGTCCCAGCCCCTTTTTTGTAAATCTCAAGGTAGAAGTTTTTCCTGTCCTGCTTAAGAGAGTCTTCAATGACAGGTCAAAATCAGCCATGCACACAGCTCAGTAAGAGGCAAGAAAATAGCTGAATGATGAAGAAAGAGCTGGAGTAGAAATTAAGTTCTAATAGCCAGGGAAGGCCTTGCTGAGAAAAGTATAGTGTTCCAGCAAAGATCAGAGGGTATCAAGGAGCAATCACACATAAATCACTGCTGTATAGAAGCAGTGGCAAGTGCAAAGGCCCTGTGCAGGAGTGTGCTTGGTGGGGTTCAGGGTGAAACAGAGAAAGAGAGAGCCAGAGTGTGATGGGAAAGGCAGGCAGAGCA